AACCCATAACATACCGTTTTTTCCTCTTTAGACCGGGAACGGTTAACCGTTCTGAAACGTTTCCCTGGCCAAAACCCCTTAAGCGTTTCTAGTCTAAATCGGGCCTAAGTGTCCTACACACACACAGATGCAATGTACTTTTCCCTGCAAAGCAAACACCCTATCTAGAACAATGACAGCTGTTTGTCAGTTCTCACACATTACACAGATGATCACCCTGTCCCATATAACACACCTGCAGCTGGAGCTGTCACATGACTGGGCTGTCAGGTCATCTGTACAACCAGCATCTGTCAATGTTTTGCTATTTTGATATTCGTAACTTGTTGTTAGGTCCTGTATATTGTATTGACTTGTCCTGTGTTGTGTTGTATGTACCAGTGGCAGCCGCCACCAGCCTTTGGCTGCCTGGCTCCCACTTGTAATGCGTTGTTTGGCATCACCAATAAATAAATGAAATGAAAGATTCTCTAGAATAACATGGTAATCTCCAAGCAGATGTGTGGATGATGGTGAGCTCCTCTTACAGTCCCTTACACCTTGGAAAGCACTCAATATATTAGGAAGAGTCACTGTCAGAGAAGCCCAGCTATAAAAAAATGTTACCTTTCACAAAATCTGATAATAAGTTAGTTCTACCACAGTATCTTACCTTGACACATACAATGTATGTTGAACTGCAAAGTATAAAATTCAGTATATACATACAATGCAAAATAGTTAACAATGTTATAACTAGAATATGTTGTAATTATTCAAATGTCATACTTCGAGAAAACTGTATGTGAAATGAAGGTGTGAACACGATCTTCATATTCTATGTTATCTCCCTCCCCAAAGCTTTACAGTTGACAAAAATGAATAGTGAATTGACATTTAAATAACTGTGATACAATTGCCCTGGGCAACATCTATAATATGGTAACATTTTAATGTCTTCCTGCACAATCGCTTCCAGCTGAGCCTACAAATTGTTCTTCATTTGCTGTTGTGATTAACATACAGGTGGTTAATCGTGACATGATTTTCAACTTATCACATGAAGAATAGATACGTACAGTAGCTCCATATTGCATGGCAGACAGATTTTTGCCAGGATGAAAAGGACTGTGATGACTGATGGGGTACCCCATGGTACTGTACAATGTATTTGCTGCTACTGTTTCTGGGTTTCTCATTATTGAAGGTCTCTCACCTCCGTTTGTGATTTATATCTGGTTTTCTCACTATTGAAGGTCTCTCACCTCCATTTGTGATTTCTATCTGGGTTTTTCATTATTGGAGGTCTCTCACCAACGTTTGCGATTTAGATCTGGGTTTCTCATTTTTGAAGGTCTCTCACCTCCGTTTGTGATTTATATCTGGGTTTCTCATTACTGAAGGTCTCTCACCTCCGTTTGTGATTTATATCTGGTTTTCTCACTATTGAAGGTCTCTCACCTCCGTTTGTGGTTTAGATCTGGGTTTCTCATTATTGAAGGTCTCTCACCTCCGTTTGTGATTTATATCTGGGTTTCACACTATTGAAGGTCTCTCACCTCCGTTTGTGATTTATATCTGGTTTTCTCATTATTTCAGGTCTCTCACCACCGTTTGCGATTTAGATCTGGG